AAGAATATATATAGATAGATAGATATTTGTATATTTATATATATTATTTTTAATTAAAGAATCAGTAAACATTATACATAAATGTAATGTTTATCTTTATGTATAGATAAATTTATGTAGCAAATTATTCTATTTTGAATGGAAACATGGAAAATTAGGCAGGAGGTCAGATGTGTTTCAAACCATCCATGTCATATAAATTTGACTGTGATGAATTAAAGCGAATTACTGCAAAAATAAAACCCAAATTGTGTGTTCGTTTGGGGTCGGTATCATTTATCACCTCCTGACTCGTCGGACTGCTTAATCAATTAATGCTCACGGATTAATCCATCTTAAGTGTTTCCATAAAGCTAATGCTGGGTGTCACATGGAAGTGGTGATTCATCAAGGCTTGACCAAAAGAGAGAGAAAAAAAGTAAACTACGCAGGCAGTGAGTGGGTTTCTTTCTCACACACCCAGTGTTTCTGTGTAGCACACAAACTAAAATTTAGAGTGTTAAGCAATGGAAAGTCATTCCTTGTTTTATTTTTATTTATTTTTTTTTACTCCCTTGTTTTAAAATCTTACAACCAGTTAGAAACATCTCTTTAGCAACTATTTTTATAGACAAATGGCATTACTATGCCTTTGAGCAATTTGGAAAAGCCCAGGTGATGATGTCATGGTTTTGGAGGAGAACTTGTGGATTTATTTTACGGCAGCACCTTGTATACAAAAAAAATAAATAAATCAAAGGTATACAGGTATAAACGGGGAATGTCCAATCATTCTTTTTATTTGGAGGTAAAACGTGGATGTCAGTAACCCTGAACACACCATCCCAACTGTGAAGTACAGTGGTGGCAGCACCTTTCTGAGAAGGTGTTTTACAGCAGGAGGGACTTGTGCACTACACGAAACAGATAATATCATAACGAGAGAACGATATGTGTAAATATTGAAGAAACATATCACTATATCTGCCTGGAAGGTAAAGCGTGGACACAAACGGGTCATCCAAATGTACAATGAGCCATTTCATACTGAAAAACTAGATACAGAGGAGGTTGAGGAGAATAAAATCAATGTTTTGGAGTGGGCAAAAAGTAAAAAACAAAAAAACAAAAAAAACCCTGACTTTAGTCCCAAAGGAAATATGTGTAAATGGGCCAAGATTCCACTTAACTATCGTAAGAATCCAGTGGAAGGACATCCAAACCATTTTACCCAAGTAACATGATCAGACAGAAAGTATAAAAGTGTATTTTTATACAGGGTATGTAAATAACAGGATTTAAGTGTTTAAATCTTACTATATTTTCTCCACTGGATTTTGTTGTCTGAACACAATTTTACACCTTTTAGTGCTACACTTTGGAATATTACAAAATTTATTACAAAAAACAAACAAATAAAATGGATAGAAAAGAAAACTGGATATGTTTAGTGCATCTAATGGATGACAAAGAAGATATTGTAAATTTTATTGAATTCCAAGTTAAATTTATCCTTGATTGCACACACAAAAATGTCCTTGGTTGTTGTAGCTAATTGTATTTCTTCATGCTCTAAATCTTTGAGAATAAGAAAAAGTTATGGATGTGCATTTTGATAGAAAGAAAGTTTCTTAGAAAAAAACTTGAAATTTAGCTAGAACAGAGTTCATGGGTGGTTGTCAATAGAAAAAAAACTGTTAAGCATAGGTTTTGAATGCAAAATAAATAGATAAATAAAAAAAATATAAAATGTAAAACTTAAAATGTTCTCAGTTTTTGAAACCATGTACATATACGCGAACAAATGAATATTTCTGTTTTATCATGTATTGGTAATATGACTATTTGTGCTTTTTAAATTTTATTTTAAATTTATGCTGACTTTTTATGTGTTTTTTATTACTACATGCTCCCTGGATTCGGTTAGACAGATATTTAAAATGTTGATGCGTCTTTATTTTATATAGACCACCTGGTTTTATGCTTTATTCTATCGTTGGAAAATTGCCAAATTAAAAATGAGTAATGAGTTCATATTTTTCCTTTCTTTTCCAATACGTCTTCAGCTTTTATTATCCGTCAGTTATTCACTATCAATGTATTTATACGGCAAAATGCAAAGTCCTTTGTGCGCTAAATTGTTTTAAGAGGTTTTAACGGGCATCTTTGTTCAATATTCCCATGGTACTAAAATGCATCATGTGGTCTACCAGCTGATGTAGAAAAAACCCGGGGACAACAAGGCCGCCTGTGACGCATCGCTCACGCTACGGTACGCCATTTGTGTCTAGCAGCAAAAAAGCGCGCACCGCGGAGACACTCACCTAACAAGGGGTAAGTCCGCTTGATTTATGAAATTTAGTTCATATTTTTACTCAAGCTGCGTTTAAATTGGCGACATTTATGGATATACGGTGTTTTAACGTGCTGTTCAGACTATATGGGTGACTAATTCAGAGGTCGACGTTAGCCTCCTTTTTGGGCCTCTGTGCTGCCGTCGTTTTCCAAACGTTCGAGCTTGTTAGACCCGCCTTAGCCCTGCTATGATTGGCTGACATAGCCGAAAAAGGCATTTCATTGGACGCGCTGTGAGTCTGTGAAAGTACAGTAGAGGAACGTGTTGCTAGTTAGCAAGTTAGCAGCAGACTCCAGCTTCAGCAGTGCTACATAATTTTACTCTGACACGGGGACATAAACTATTTGAACCCTTAAATATATGGGTTTTTGCAAAAGTGGTGCACCTTGCGGAATGGTTTTTTATAGTTTTTCTTTGGTGTAGAGGTCTTAGCGTGCTTTACAATCATCTGTGGCTAACTTTAACACGACTTTCAGTTAATGTTGCCGGGCTAGTTAGTAAGCAAAAAGTCAAACTTAATGTAGTCAGCCACCAAAATGTTTTAAGTAGTTTTGTAAAATATGAAGGACGTAAGATGTTGCATGTATCTATATCTGCATCTCCTCTCCTAGGAGCTATCGTGGTAAAACTAAAACTTTCACTGTCCGTTTGGACAACATTTGGTCTTCTCCTCAAATATTGTCCAGACAGGGATAAAAAAAAATCTACTTTCACTAGGAGTTTTATAAGATTTTGTTGAAGATCTGTTGCCTCCACCTTTATTCCACATGTACAGTGGATGTAGCTGATCTTTCATTGTCAATATAAAAGAATGCTTCTGTATTTTACATTTTTTGGCTTTCTTGAAATGTTTGTTAAGCTATGTTTTATAGATTTTTCTTATATTTGTGGATACAAAAATGTTGCATTAGTTTAATTTAATTTCTAAGCATGTTAGCAATTAGAAAACAACAGCTGGATGGTCACTTTAGAAAGTGGAAATATAGAAGTTAAATTAGGAAATAAAATTAAAAAATAAGTAGATAAATGGTTAACCCCCAGTCTTTGGCTTGTTAAAATAGCATGCAAACAGTTATAGAAAATTGTGTTTTCTGTCCATACCTGATGTGTTTTGACATGGATACAGAACTTAAATTGTTGACAAAATAGTGAAAGCTTTGCCAACTGGCCAAGGTTTGAAAATACAAAAACATACAAAAGTGAACAATTACACATTAACACCAGTAGGATACATACATATGCCCATTGAAGTGCTGTTTGAACTGTGCAGTTACAATTCCCGAAATATTCATTCATGTTGAACTTTTTCACATTTATGTTACCACCGAAAACTTCAAGGTGAAATAACTTTATTGAAAATGCTAACACAAAGTAGCACATAGCAGAATTATGTTCAGCCCTATTTACTTCTGATTAAAAACCACTGCAACCATCCATCTTCCGTACACCCTTGTTCCTAATCAGGTCAGGAGGGGTGCTGGTGCCTATCTCCAGCGAACGTTTCGGGCGAGAGACGGGGTTCACCCTGGACAGGTCACCATTCTGTCACAGGGCAACACAGAGACAGACCGGACAAACAACCATGCACACACTCACACCTAGGGACAATTTGGAGAGACCAATTAACTTAACAGTCATATTTTTTGGACTTTGGGAGGAAGCTGGAGAGAACCCAGCATGCACAGGGGGAACATGCAAACTCCATGCAGAAAGACCCCAGGCTGGGAATCAAACCCAGGACCTTCTTGCTGAAAAGGCAACAGTGCAACCAACTGCGCCACTGCCACTGCAACCAGTCAGCTAATAAGTAAACATAGTCCACTTAAGTGTAATTTAATCTTAGTATGAGCCTCAGAGTTTCATTAGAGACAACTGGTGAACAAACAGCATCGTGGAGACCAAGGAGCACGGCAGAGAAGTTATAAAACATGTCATGTTTGCGAAAATGGGAAGAGTATGGTACAACCTACTGAGACAAAACCACTGACTATTTATTTATTTAACTGACAGACCAGGTAAGGTGTGCATTAATCTGAGAAGGTAACTCAGTAGCTAGCTGCAGAAATCCACAGCTCTGTTGGGAGAATCTTAAGAAGTCTGATGGGAAGGTTAATGTAGCTAGTTCTGTAAGAAAAACCTGCTTGAAAACCTGGCTGAGACTGTGGCAGAGGCTCACCTCTCAGCAGGAGAACGACACTAACCTTCCAGCCAAAGCTAGATCAAAGCACATGTGTTTTGATCTGTACTTTGACTAGGATGGCTTAGTCAAAGTACAGACATAGATCCAAACTGGGATCAAGATTTGAAAACTGATTTTCACGGATATTCTTAATTCACCCATCCAATCTGACTATATAGGCATTAAAAACAAATAGAGGATGAATTCTACCACCGTCTCCTACACCCTCCCTAAAACAAACTGATTATAAAAACACGATATAATTGAATTTACAATATTTACAGCATTAATATAACTCAATTAAGAACCAAATAAAACCTGCTTTTAAATATGTTTTCATAAGTAACAACGATCATTAAGATTGCATGTTTGCTTGTAATATTATTGTTTATATATATATTTAAAAAAATCACGTGAGATTTTTAAAAAATCTCACATGAGACTCACCAATCATATTTACTCCAACAAAACCAGACTTTACCTAAATGTTTTAATGTGAGATAAAGTTGAAAAAAGCTGCAACAAATGCAGTGTTATGATGGATTACCTACAGTGGTTACTTATGTTACTTATAGGTCACTCAGATAATAATGATAGCGATGTAACACAACCTTTTAATTATTAGAAACAACAATCTGTTATGTTCCCAATCTTTTAGTAACAGTTCGTGTCTATTAACACTAGATGGCGACATTTACTCATGTTTAGCCAGACGGAGTTGAACTGGATTTACCTTCACATAGTCTTGGCTGTGGTGTCCAAACTTTTTGCCATGCAGGCCAAAATTGTGAAGATGACAGTAGTCATGGGCCACAAAGATTAGATTTTTAAATAAAAATGCAAAAAGGAATGTGAGTTTTTTTTTTATTATTATTATTTTATTATACATGCAAATCAGTAGTCAGAAATGGGATATTTAAATGAAAATAATGTTTTTTTGTAGGGAATTAATATGTAATTCATAGTAATTCTGAAATATGTATAACGTTTCACATTGCTCTTATTAAAAGAAAGACATATCATTTATGAAAGTATAGGTTCAATTGTAGGACATTATGAGCTACATACAAACTCATTCTGAGAGCTACATCCAATCTTGGAGTTGGTATTGGCTGTTATGCAGTAATATATTGTAGACACTTGGACATGCCGCATATAAACATTTTTTTTTTTTTTTTTTTTTTTTTTTTTTTTTTTTCCTCAAGATTTTGATGCGGTTTTGATGACACCACTGGATTTCACATTTGTGCGAAACTATAACAGGAAATGATATGGAAAAAACCCTGGAATTAGGAGAGGGGGATGCTGAGAGGAAATCAGCTGAAAACGACTTTGTGAAGGTGCCGGCAGATGATATGGAGATGGAAGAAACCACAGGGGTCTCCCCTGGCAGCGCTGGTGAACTCGATAAGGCAGAGGAAGAACGTGCTGAGAGGCCATCGCCAGACGGTGGACGCGAGGGCGGGGAGAACGTTTGCAAAGTTTGTGGGTTCTCAACCATGTACCCGAGATCACTGAAAACTCATTATACAAGAAAACATGGGAAAGTCACTGAAAAAAATCCTCCACCTGATGAAGAAAAGGTAAATAATCTTAATGCTAGTGAAGTCCAAGAGCAAGTCACCATAAAAACCGAGGAAGACGACGGTGAACAAAACCAGAGTCCAGATTTAGACCAGGAAGAGAATAACATGGCTCAGGAGAGAAGAGTGAGCAAGCGAACCCCGAAACCTAAGATCATTTATTCCTGCAACTACTGTGGACATGAATTTAGGGACAAGGCTCCTCTCGATGTCCACATTCAGAGATATCATGCCAAAGATGTCCCTTTAACTTGTGAGTATCCCCTTATCTTCTGTTCACAGTTGACATTTCATCCATGAAAATATTTACATCCTCAACCATACAGGTGAAATACATTTTTAAGTGAATTAAATATTAACATTGGATACTGATGACCATGATGTTTCTCTGTACTTGTTGAGAAAGGCTAAAAAGAAGGATATCTCTCTGTGTCTTATTAGTTGAGGTGGAGGAGAACGTGGGCGAATCGGAGGAAGCCGTGGAGAGCTGCAGCACTGAAAAGGCTTCACCGTCAAAAGTGGCACCAAAGCGTGTTCTCAGCAGGTTCCAGCTGAAATGTCCAATCTGTGATTTCAGGGTGGGCAGCACTGCAGTGCTGGAAAGGCACACTCGCGATAAACACCCCACCCTAGAGTGGCTCCGCTGCAAAGTCTGCAACTTCTTTGCAGCGACTTCAGAGTGGATGAGTTCTCACCTGTCGTCGGATGGCCATTTGGAGCAACAGAAAGTAAAAAAAAGCTCAGAAGCTTCTTCATTTGAACAGTGCGTTGAGAAAGTTAGCAGAGACTGTGCAGGAGAGGATGCAGTTGTGGGTCACCTCGATCAGGTGGTCCCCGGAGAAGGGACTACTTTGACCAAAGATCAACAGAAAGCCGATGAGCTGTCAGAGGCAGCCGAGTCTGTGCTGACTGAGGAAGAAGATGCAGAACTTGAGCCTCCAAGAAAGAAAAGAGGAAGACCAAAACAAGGGTCTTCTACAACTTGTGGATACTGTGGCTTGGTTGTGTCCAACGCCACTAATCTCAGTGTTCACGTTCGCCGCAAACACAGCAAAGATTATGGCTACAGCTGCACTTTGTGCAACTACAGCTGTGTCACCAAGGGAGATATGGATCGTCACTGTTTTACTAAGAAGCATGTGAAAAGGGCACAGGAGAGTTCGAGTAAGAGCCCGGCGAGGGCCGACTCCGGTGCGCCGTTGCTTGAGCCAACCAGCGCACCAGCTGCTGGCACACAGCCTACTGACGCAAGGCAAGAACAGGATGGGGAACTTCTTGGAGAGCACAAAGACCAAGACCAAACTGAGTCTGACACAAGCCAGCAAAAAAGCAAGTATGACTCTGTCAATGCTTGCAGTCTTTGTGATTTTGTTGCCCAGTCAATCCCATCCCTCCATCTCCATGTCAAGAGAAAGCACACCAAAGATTTTGAGTACGTTTGTCTAGCATGCAGCTACTATGCCGTCACTAGTAGGGAAATGTATCGTCATGCTAGCACAGAGAAGCACAAACAAAAAAGTCAGAAATATCTGGAACATCAAAAGGGCAAAGAACAAAGAGCTTCAGAACATCCCTTAAAAGAGACGGGGATCAATGAGCCTCCTGGGCAGAACTCCAGCACTGGCTGTGAACATCCAAACCCCTCAGATTGGTCGGGATCTTGCTACATTGACAGCCCGTGTGTGGAAATGCAAGATCCAGCTGCGCCATCTGTCACTACAGAGATTGTTCGTGTTGTGGTTGGTGGAACTGGAGGTGAAGATGAAATGCAAGTGACAACTAATACATCGTCGGCTGACAATGAACCAGAATCAACCAGCCGGACAGCTGAGATGACTGTGCAGCAGGCTTCAGCCGAACTTCATCTTCCATTAGATGAGTCTGCACATGAAGAGAATCAGAATTTAGAGGGTACACAAGCAAGAGAGGAGACTTCAAAGGAAGATGCAGCGGTTGTTGATATGCAAATGTCCAAAGCTCCCCCGTTTGATGCCAGCATTGTTTCCTTCAAGGCCCTTGCAGAGCAGGAGGTAACATTGACAGAGAGTATGGCGCTGGAAGGAGAGGCCCCTGTTATATCTTTGACTGGAGGGCCAATATCTAGTGTCACGTCCCCCAGCTCGACATATGTGAGAAAGCTCAAACCCAAGGAGATGAAGGTCAGGGATGAAGCCAAAGCCTGCAGCTCTCGCATACGCTGCGAGGACTGCGGCTTCATGGCAGACGGTCTCAGCGGCCTCAACGTCCACATCTCAATGAAGCACCCGTCCAAAGAGAGGCACTTCCACTGCCTGGTGTGTGGCAAGTCCTTCTACACCGAGAGCAACCTGCACCAGCACCTCTCCAGCGCCGCCCATCTCCGCAATGAGCAGAACAGCGTGGAGGAGCTGCCCGAGGGGGGCGCGAGCTTCAAGTGCGTGAAATGCACCGACCGCTTCGAGACGGAGCAGGACTTGTTTGTCCACATCAAGGAGAAGCACGAGGAGCTCCTGCGTGAGGTCAACAAGTATGTGCTGGAGGACACGGAGCAGATCAACCGCGAGCGCGAGGAGAACCAGGGCAGTGTATGCAAATACTGCGGCAAGGTGTGCAAGAGCAGCAACTCCATGGCCTTCCTGGCACACATTCGCACACACACTGGTACGTGAGCTCGCCTTCGCACACTCACTCACTGAATCTTCATCCCTCTCTCCTACTTTGAACATGTTGTGAAAACATGCATATCATTATTAGTTGTACCACATAGTTTAGCTGCTTGATTTGAAAACATCATTACATATGTATTATTACAAATTCACTACTTTGCAGCGGCATACATTATTAAAACCTCTTGTAACCGATACAGATTACATACGCTGCTCTTTGGAAGTCTGGGTGAGCACTTAAATGTGACACGTTTTCCTGAATATGTCAAAACAATAATCTCCTTTAGTGAGTGTTTAGCGATTAGGCCTTTGTTGTTGTTTTTTTTTTAGATGCAACAGCATTAAATAGGGCGAAACAGACTCCTTCAGTGGCTGCTGAGGCTATTGTCAAGGCCACTATCTACTTCAGCCAGGTAATAGTTCTTTTTTTTGTAGAGGTGAAGGTAGAGACTGATTGAGCTTCAAACCAACAGGAGAGACGCTAATGGACCCCAGATTGGGATTTCCTGAGCAACGCTTGGTCAGAGACATGTGCGACTCATAATTGATGTGTCCATTACCAAGACTCAGTTGTAATTATAGTCAATAAGTCTCTGTAAATGTGTTAAAGCTTAGGCTAAAAGCATTGGAGGTCCAAAGAGAGGTGGGCTAATAATTTAAAATAATCAATGCAGACATATTCAAAGCCTTTAATTTCCCTGGTGTCTGTATGTCCATGTTTGCGCATATATATATGTGTGTGTGTGTGTGTGTGTGTGTGTGAGAGAGAGACGGAGAGAGAGAGGGGTTGTATGCCTGGTGTGTGTGTGTGTGTGTATGTGTGTGTGTGTGTGTGTGTGTGTGTGTGTGTGTGTGTGTGTGTATGTCAGCCTTCATGGCTAGCTGATTATCCTCAATCCATTAGGATTTATCTTGTCATTTATAATGCAAAGCAGGGCTGCATTGGTCAGGGCTTCGGCAGGGAGGCGTCCGGCAGGTTAAGAACACGGGGCGCTCCATTACTTTCCCTGACCGTGTGTATTAATTGCTTTTAAAATCAACTTAATGCAGGAACGAGATGTGAGGGCGCCATCAATAAATGCCCCTCTCTGCCTCCCATAGTCCATCCTCCCTTTCAGGCTAAACTTTAATGGGACTTTAATTGAAGTCTGTGCTCTGTGTTTACTGTGTGTGTGTACATGTGTCTTTGTGGGCGTGTGAAGCCTCCTTTTAGAGTCAGACAAAGTAAGGAAGGTTTCCACTTGGAGACAGTGGATGGCCTGAGTGGGTATTTTAGCTGACCAGCTAACCTGATGACTATTTATCCAAGTTTGACATGACTGTTGATTTTACCTTATGTATAACTGCCTAGCTAAAGAACAAAAAAAAAACACGTGATTATCATGAAAAAGGTAAATATTTCTTGTTGCTCCTTTCAGAGGGTGAAACTCATGAATTATATAAACGTCGAGGGCGAAAAGCCACCCTGTTGTCTTTTGTAGTTTTGATGCTTGAAAATTAGAATATTGTGTATAATTAATATATTGGAAACTCATGTTGTCACACCCTAGTCAGCTAATTAACTGAAAACACCTTCAAAGGTTTCTTGACCCTCCAAGTGGTCTATAAGTCAATAGACTGAACAGATGTCCAGAAGACTCTCATACACCCCACAAAGAGGATACGCCATAAAAGATTATTGCTGGTTGTTCAGCAAACATGTTAATAGGAAGCTGAGTGGAAGAAAAGTAATTTAGGAAACACTGTGGTAGGAAAACATGCAGCACCAACTTGGATAACTTCGGCTTTGAGAGGATCATCAAACCAAATGTATTTAAGAATTTGTGGGAGCCCAAATTCAATTGAGAATCTGTGGCAAGACTTGGAAATCAAATTATATTTGCCTTATGCCTCACAATTATAGACTGATTTTGTGTTGATTCAGCCCAGAAATTCAAGAGGCATCAGCACATTTTATTCCAGCGCAATCTTCTTAAATTTAAGAGGGGTATTGGAGGAAATGACGCCGTAGTCCTGGATTAATACAATTTATCTAATTTTACAGATCTTACATCACGGTTCCTTGTGTGCCAAAGTCCAATTTCTTCCTGCTGAACTCAAACGGCTTAAAGCTGTGAAAACTGGAGGTTAAATCCCAATGATTAATGCGTAGCTTCTACACTCTTCATATTAATGGTTACCCTACACATATTCATAATTTTACCCAGTGTCATAATTCTTGAGTTTTGAGGTCACTTACTTAGTGTTACTTAAGAAAATGAAAGTAGTGACACCGAGGTCCCAAAAGATGGCGTCCAGTCAAGGGCACATTAAAGTTTCAAATAAACAGTTTGTTTTGTTTTTATCCAACAGAGTGGCGGACTTGCTTAGGTGATTAAATCCCCACTTTTAAGAGCGCTTTCCGTTTCGAAGACGAGCCTTATTTCTCCTCGTTTTGACAGCATACGTCAGTTGCTATTATTGCTAAATTCCCTCATTACAGTGAATTATTTACCTTTTCACGTGCGGCCATTCATTCTGAGAGTTTGTTCGCGGGTGCCGCGGAGCGGCACGGTGGGGTTCTGCCAGTTTCTGAGCAGGGAGCACGTCCAGATCCTTTTAATTAAGACCTAGTTTTTATTCACTTGATTAATCAGTGAAATCAGGGAACGGTGGTGGGAGGCTGCACACAGATTTGTCAATTTGTCCCTTTAAGGAAACCCGTACACATGGCTTGCGTTTTTGCCAATGAGCTGAAATTAGCATTTCGAGCTAAATTGGTCACTTTTTCACCAAAGCGAGCTGTCTGACCTCAGACCGAGGCTTCAAGCAATACGCACACATGCAAGGCATGGGAGCTAACACACAGGGTGGGATTTGGGTTGCTATTTAGAATTGCTAATAATTTTTTTTTATTAAAAGAACACCCAATACAATGGCAATTTCTTTGTATGGATATTTTTTTTAAAAAAGTGGATCTTAAAAGTATATACACTCCCATTAATATTTCAGCTTTTTATGTTTAAAAAAAAATCACATGTACTTTGCCCATAAATTAAGGGAACTTTTGTTTGGCTTCTATTTTTTCCCTTTGTTGCAACAACACCTATAGCTGTTTTTTTTTTTTTTGTTGTTGTTTTTTTTGCCAAAGTGACCAACATGATTATTTTGGCTGAAAAGCAACAAATGCTTTTCGAAGATTAGGACGGTGTCCCACAGCAGTGTGTGACCAAGCTGGTGACCAGCATGAAGAGTAGGTGCCACTTTTTATTTTATTTTGAATTTTTGTAAGAAAAGCAGCCTGAAAGCTGGATGAATAAAAAAAGGGAACATTCAGCAGCTGTGGGGAATGTGTTAAAACATGCTACCAGGTTGCATAAAGGGAAGTGGAGGACGCCTTTGCAGTTTACTCGTACAGTCCTCCACATGTCAAAATATTTCAGGCTCCATTGCATCATTATTTAATTTCCATTGTCATGTTTGTCAGTTGTGGAAGTGCAGTATTAACATACTTCATGCGTTTTTTTCTTTTCTTTTTTTTTTTTTTATAACAAAAATGCTGCCACGTTTAAAAAAAAAAAGTAAAAATTCTCGACTTTGTGTACAGAAACCTTTCACAGATGCCACGGAACATTGTGGCGACACGCAGGCAGAAGTGCTTCTCTGGGTGCACTTTTCACACTCTGGTGCTGACAGGTGAAACGTTTCAATAAAGGATCATGTTTAATATATTTCTGACTTGGTGCCAAAATTCAGATCCACTCATTTCTATGCGATAAAAAAAAAGAAGATATTTGTAATCTGACATAATGGAAAGGAAGGCAAGAGATTGAAATAAACTTTATGCGGGTATCTTGCAATCTCATGTGTCAAAGAGAAATGGAACAAACATGAGCACAAAGTCATTTATTCATGTGAAATTGACATGTTTTTATTCTTATTTTCCTCCAAACCTGAAAGCTGAAGGCTACGGCAGAAAGTGTGTGGCATGTAAAAAAAAAAAAAAAAAAAAAAGCTTAAGACATCACGATATGTGAGGTGAAACATTGCATGAGGTTTCTCTCTCCTCTCAGGAAATGAATTAGTCATTCTCTGTCTCATCTGGGATGTGAAGCAGCCACATTGCCCCTGTGTGGATGGCAATATTAATTTAACATGACACCGCATTGATGGTCAATTTCAGTTTCAGGGAGGCTGTTTAAGTAGAGTGGTGGAGTATTAATGTGATAAGATGTTTGAACGGGGGCTGGAGGGAGAGGCGACGGTACATCCCGCTCTCTCTCTTTCTACTCTGCCATGTTTCATGCTCAGCCAGCCATCTGGACAAATCATCTCCCCACACGCCTCTCTCTCTCTCTCTCCCTCTTCTCAACTTTAGGTTGGATGTTTCTGAAAGTGTGTGAGTGAGAAGGGAAGAAAGGATGATTGTCTCTTTATGTTTTCTCAGTGGCCAATGTGTTTTGGGAACATAAAGCTCGGCTGTGAGGCGGGGTTCTGAAACTAACATGTAGGTGTGATGGTGGGTGTGGTGTGACCCTTGCGGCTGTCTTTTTGTTTTTTCATTAGGTGTCGACGGCGGTATTGTTGTGTGTGATTTCTCGGCGTTTGAGTGTGAAGTCTGCAGCTACAATTGGGGCTGTAATAAGTTTTTTTTTTTCCTCTGTCTTTATTAGCTCCTGTGTTTATGCCTATGTAAATATGTGTGGTGTACTGCAGAGATATGCGAAATGAAGAGGCTGGCCATGTGCGACCCCCCTCCCCCCCTCCCCTCCCTCCACACACCCTCTTTCTCTTGTCCCTTGTGTTTATGGACCTTGTTAGCACAAGCTTGCCTTTCAATCTTCGTTACTGGTGTAAAATTCGATGTGTCGTACTTCCAGCTCACAGCAAGTGAACCGTGTATGAACGAATTAGTAATCTACACAAAGTGCTTAATCAAATCAGCAGCTGCCCCTGGAATAAATATTGTAGAACGTCTTGGGATATTTGCTGGCAGAGGGTGAGGGTTTCCTCAAAGATGCATGCGTGGATATCATAGCCGGCTGCCACTTAGAGTGAAGTGTCGCACTGTGTCATGCCAGCCTAAATTCGGCTCAGCCCGCTAACAAATTCTACGTTTGACTTCGTCGTATGCATATGCTTAATTTATGTTTTTTTTTTTTTTTGGGGGGGGGGGGGCTTTTTGAAGAGTAGGTACAAAACAAATTATAATAATATTGGAAATAGGCGTTTTATTTTTTCTAAATGTATAAATCTTGACATGGTGTATTTCCTCAGTTTTTAAATATTTACATTTCACTCCATTGCATACAACGGTCGTTAGTGGATTTGCATAATGGACATCCAGTGAGAACATACCATGTTTTACCTTATTATAGTGTAAATAAAATTGTTGCTGAGACAGACATTCTCCATTGACAGGGCTTTATTAAAACATACAATAATACATAAATCACAAAAAGAATAAAATGATGAACAAAGATTTATATAGAAATTAAGTGGAAGAAACCATGACTTGTTTTCTGGGATTTTATTCATTCATATATTTTTTCACTGTGTAATTAACCTAAAATAATAATAATGGAATGAGATTACCCTACAGTGTTGGAATATACCTGTAGACATGCATCCACCCATTTACAGATTATTTTTAGTTCAGTATTTCACTTAAAAGTTCTACATTTATCCACTATATACTGCTAGAGGGCGATAGTGAGCTGGTTTCTGCATTGTGTGCTCAGGTGAAGAAGAAAACCGGACAGAAAGTGTTCTTCAGCGGAACGTCAATATAGTTCTTGCGTCCTTGTTGTTAGAAAAATCCTCTGAAATATGAAAACAGCAGAGATGTCTCGCCGCTAAATTTCCTTACAACAACCTTTGTTGTTGTTTTTCTTCTTCTCCACATAATGTGAGATTTGTTTTGTTCTTCTGCTGTACGCATGGCGCCAGCGTCCGACACAGCGTTTTATTGTCCCTGCCGGCGCACAACCAAGGTCTTCACACAGTTCTGGGCGTCACCCAGAGCTTTGCTGCAGGAGGGATTAGTTCATTTCACAAATTGTTAAATTGTTTTTATATGAAAATATGGAAAGCTTCACACATTATATGCGGTAAAGAGGACTAGGAAGTTTAAATCAGGCTGAAGTTTTTGTCACCTCTCAGCCAGTTCGTCCCATCACTAATTCATTCAAGCCTCATAATTTGTTGAGGGATAAAACTGCACTTTACGGCCATGATGGCTTCAGTTTGAGATGAAGCAACAAGGTCTATGATTAACAATGCTACATTACTACTGTGAAACATGGAGGTGGAGCATTTGAGACCTAAGAAACTACAGGGAAGTGGGTCAAAATTAACAACAAAGATGAATACTGAAAAATGATTTGCTCTCAATCTTTGATTGGTTGCAGCAGGAGAAACCAACGGTTCTGGAGAGGCCTTCTCTTTCACAATACTCTTTTGATCAGAGCCATGTTGGTAGAAAAGCAGAAAAGTTTAAACTCTTCCTGGCTACGCAAACTTACTAGCACAACCGCATATAAACGATAAACATTTCCCTGCAGACTCTCACTGAAGGAGATGTTTTTGGAACACAGAAGGTGACTTTTTTTTTTGTAGTATGCTCCTTTTAAGTTGAGCTGGTGGCTGTTCATGCATCACACAGATAGTGCAGGCATCTGCCCTCACTGCTCTGCGGTTAAATGATGGATGGCGAAGAGAAGCTTTGCCACTCTCTCAAACGCTACCCCGCCCTCCGGACTTATTAATGACAATAATTAGGAGGAAACCTCCCTGTGAAGCCCGCCAGAGTGATTAGTGCTTTAATGATGGAATGGGAGGTAGCGAGTGCACCCAGAATTGATTTACGTATTCGCCCTGACCTTTGGAATCCAATTTACACATCCACAGGCAAAGAAAGAGTTGGTAGGAGATGAAGGAGAGTGACAAGGATAGATAGAGAGTGAAAGAAAAGCTGCTTGGCACTTGAAGTGGGACTCTAGTTTTTATTGGTGCTGAATTAGGGACATATGTCTTTTTTTAAAATCTTTTGTTCTTTTTTTTTTTTTCTTATTGTTGCGTCTGATTTGCTTTGCAGGATCTAAGCCCTTCATGTGTAAGATCTGCAACTTCGCCACTGCTCAGCTGGGAGACGCCCGGAACCACGTGAAGAGGCATCTCGGGATGCGGGAGTACAAATGTGACATTTGCGGGTGAGTGACGAGAGTCGGTTTTCACTTCTCGGTTAGCTTCCTTCCTTCAGAAGCCCTTCGCTCCGATGACGGCGGTGGTGAATAAACAAGCTTTTACACGCATAAGAAGAACTTGCAGAAATGCCTCAGGAGGAACTGTATCCGCAGCGGCTGCCAAAGTTTAGGCCGTTTTTGTCAATTTGAGATGGAAACAAATCATCAAAAGCCAAGATTTGTCCCACGAGCGCCGCTCTATGAAGTGTGAACTACAAATTATCTGTAGTATATCCTGCCTAGATTGTATTTGTCTCAGGTGAATTTAAAAAGTCAACCCAGCGTGGGAGAGAAATGGAACCAACGGGTTTGTGAACATCAGAAAATAGTGTTAACTTTAATCCAGAGATGTCTCGATTTGATCACAGTTATCGATTTGGGTCCTGATCAGACCTTTGTTAAATGAGCTGAAACTGAGTCCCTGAAGAAACTCAAGTAATAATAATGTCTGCGAAGTATGTTTCGTATATATTTGTTAAAACCGTCACCATGTCAGTGACTGTAACATGGACAATCTGAGAAAAGTTTGAGCTCCTCTACCTCCTCCCAGTGCCATTGTTACCGTCTGAAGAAATGCATCCGTCCCGATCCAAAACAACCAATCGGAGCCAGGAGGAGGGTCTTATCGCTGTCAATCAAACTTGTGTACGTGGTTCTAAATGTGCTAATGACTAGTCCTTAGGTTAAACATTCAACCCATGGACTAGTCACATCTGGAGTGATTAAATTATATTAAATACACAATTTGAGATCTGTGAGATCTGCTTCTATTGTGAAAACAAGAAAACAGGAATTCTGAGGTTTCCTCAAAATATGTCAGGAATCTTGTGAAGCGGCTCGCTTTTGCTTTAAGCTCGTGACATTCGTCAACTGTGTCGTCGTGCTTTTACACGCCGCTGATTTAAATGAAGTTTTGAGCTGGGAGTCTTTATCAGCTGACTCCTGTTCTTAGAGAACTCAGAACGGGGCAAAAATAATCCTCATCCTCGTCATTATTTTAATCTGTTTAAAACTGCCAACAACAGAATTTAACTGATTAAGTATGAAGTGAAACACTTGACATTATTGCTTCATGTCTGAATATCGGCGGTCCAAAAATAACATGAAAATGCGTTAATAATGTGGGATTCTTTATTATAAAAGAAAGGGGGGGGGGGGGAAACAATTCTCTGCGTCAACTTTCCTCTCAGCATAAGGTGAGAGAGATTATTTAGCCAGCTGTACAAATAATCCTAATTGGAAGTTTATGTAGGTTACCACAAGGCTATAAATACCCAGTAGTTGAGGAGTGCGGCTGTTCCGGCGGTACTCCGTACCCCCTGCATGTTGACCATATGTTGTGCTCAGCTCCCTCCATTCCCGTGATAGACCTCCTCACAGCTTTGCCATGTTCAAATAAACGTGTTAAGCTGTTTAACACGCAGCCCGGGAATAGAGTAAATTGTGGGATTTTCAACCTTTTTTTTTTTCCTGAAGTTTCTGCAGGTTCTCTGAGACGTACGCTACTAAAACATACATGTCGGAAGAGAGCCGTTAGTTTCTCTCTCTGTGCGATTTTGTGTGTGTGTGTGTGTGTGTGTGTAAGCTGGTATCATTCGGTCTGGTTGCAGGCAGATTTTTTTATTTTTTATTTACTTATTTATTTTTTTATTTCTGTTCCTCCAAAGTCGAGCAGAGCAAATGTGTTTATTTGCTCCCGCTGATGTTCGCAAACATATTACAGCAGGAGCCAACAAGCTTTGCCTTAAACACAGCATCTCCTTTAATGAGAGGAGAGGCTCATGTTTCACAAGCCCCGAACATCCCCCCCCCCCCCCAACACACACACACACACACACACACACACCCTAACCACCAGCACACATCTGAAAACCCGCTTCTCCCAAGTGCAGCAAACATGTTGGGCTTTGACCAAGCGTCTCGCTCTACACCGCGAGCGCATGCGCGCGCGCACACACACACACACACACACACACACACACACACACACACACACACACATGCGTGTACGACTGGAGCGGTTCTCCAATATGCTTTTAAATGGGACTACTAAATACAACCCCTGGTTTCACAAATCATGCGGCTGTAGGAGCCGCGTGCTGCCAGTGCCAGCCACCGGTGACAAATCGGCCCTGTGTGTGCTTTCAGGACTGACTGATCACCAGGCCATCCCTCGGCTTGACTAAAGAGCAGCAAACACAAAGAAACTCCCAGCAACAACCTCATTAAGGCCAGAGCCATACATACACATAACCCGGCTTTGCCTTTTTTTTTTTTTTTTTGTTTTTTTTTTTTTTTGTTTTTTTCATCCCCCCAAAACTTTTCACACTTTGATACGTCCCTAATCTGAATATAAAGCATGGTACTAACGCCTGGCAATGGATCAGGTGTAATGTGTGATGTTATTAGCCGTTTTGGGTTTTTTGTGGGGTTTTTTTTTTTTTTTGGTTGGGGGGTGACCCAGAAAAAGTGAGATCATAGTGCGATTAAGTGAATAAAGGCGTTTTACTTCAGGAAACGGATGTTTTTGGGGGGATTTTTAGGCGCAATCACACTTCATCACGTCAATTAACTCACCAATTTGTTTTTGGACTCCCTTTTTTTTTCCCCATGCAGTGTTGGTTTATGGTTTCATTAATCATTGATAAACTACGTGTTTTCCTTTGCGTCCATGGCATTTATTGTCGTTTTGTTTCAGCTCCCATCATTTCCTGTCCTTTTTGCCTGAAGTAAAGGAGGGAGAACAAAAAAAAAAAAGATTTCTCCTCTTTCATTGATCGCCACGTCTTCCTTGTTAAACTCCCAGACCGGAGGATTACCTCGCCTCTGACTCTTTGAATGAACGGACGCGCGGCGCCTCGGCTGTCCGCCTCGCTTTAGCAGCTGCCCGCCGCTGCTTTTTTCTTCCCGGGAAACTGGGGGGAGTTGTTGATAGTTAAAGATCATATTGTTTTGGCATTTAATTAAGAAATGCAAATGCAGGGCCAAGACAGATTAGAACCCCTGACCACGCTGCCAATCAAACCTGATTACGGCAGTCGGCGTCCTGCTCGCCATGCACTTCACGGGCGCTTGGCTGCCGTCTCGTTGTTTCGTTTGCTTCTTTCTGTTGTAGCTTGCAAAAGTATTCACGTCGATTGAACTTTTCCACTTATGGAAATCTGATTTTAATTCAGTTTTTGGGAAGGAAACGGATACATTTTTAAAATACTGCACAAATAATAATAATAATAATAATAATAATAATAAAAACAAAACTATAAGATTTAGCCAAGAGGCTCACTGTCACTCTGGAGGAGCTACAGAGTTTCGCAGTTGTGGAAAGAAAGAAACGCCTAGCTCGAAACAAACAGATGGAAAGTTTTGATCTTTTTATGGAGAAAACGTAGGACTAAATGTTAGGAGGAAGGTGGACGGGTAATGTTGAGCAGAAAGCGTCTGCCTTGATTTTGCACGACAACGATGGCTGTCAAAATGAACTTTTCTAATCTTAAAGGTCCGATTTGTAAATTCATATCTGAGCATGCCAAAAATGAATCACAAAAGTCAGCATATCGCCCCATGTATCGTTTCTTTAGTTGGCTTTTTTTATGCAGCTAGACAGAACCCTAATCCTGCAGTACTGATTAAAAGTGCGCTACAAAAAAACTAAGTCATACCAAGTATTCTTGATCTAGGTTTTTGGTGCAAATACCTTAGTTCCGTCCAAATAAGACAAAACCTAGCAAGATACAGGAGTTTGTTTTGAATCAATAATTCCTTATTACTGATGAAAAAGCTCTAGTTCCAGTGACAGTCATATTTCTTTGATAATACATTTTTCCCATGTTAGATGTGAAATAATCTGCCAGTTGAGTTTGTACTTCTCTCATCAATATTAGGGAATCATTGACTTAAAACAAGCTGCTGTATCTTGTTGAAAAGTTACTTGTGAGTCAGTTTTGCCTTGACTCAAGTTCACTAAAACATTTGCACAAGAAACTAAACAAATTGTGAAAAATAACGCAAATCTACTTGTAGTAAATAGTTGAGACAACAGGATCCGGGAACATATTACAATTTTTGAAACACCTGAATGTCTTAGTTATCACTGTAAAAATAAATGCTTACCTAACCAGCCTGCATCTCTACAGCGAGATCTTAAATGTAGAGGTGCTACGCCGACCTATCATGTGTTGTAAGGATAACCACGTACTGTATGATGACGCGAGTCTCTTTAGAAGTGGAGCGAATGACTGGAAAAGCATTAAAAAACAGAGGGGCAGGAAGGAACCGTCTTGTACCGAGTCTCTGCAGAGACCAGCTCAAAACTGGGAGACACACGGATATCATCGCACCTGAATGTTAAACCTATCCAGGAGAAGGGCTGAGGCTTTTCGTACTCCCGGGAAGAGCTACAACAGAATGGTTTTGATCGACACTTATTCATGTGTTAAAATGGCCCAGTCAAAGTCTCCAGCTTAACTCTAGCTGAGAATCTGAGGTAAAACGTGAATACTGCTGCTTACAAATGCTCTGTCTAACCAGACTGAGCTTACGTTGTAAGCTGTTGGAGAGAAACCCCGTGAGACTTGCACCTGCGTTAACTCTGGGAAAGTGAAGGGGTGTGAAAACTTTCCCGAGACCCTGAATGCGCCCGGTGTCCTACATATCTATCTGCTTACTTTTGTTTTTCTTTCTGAAAAGCCTTATTTGTCTTAATTTGCCTATAAAGAATTCTTTAGATCTAAAAAACCAGCAGAAAAACACAAATTGGCTGTTAGCATGCAAGATCAGATTCTTCAAATTTAATTGGTTAAGAGAAAAAGAAAAAGGATGGCAGAATCTTGGGTTTCCCCCTGGTGTTTTTTTTTTTTTTTTGTCCACAGTGGGGCTTGGCTACTTAATGAGCCTCCTCTTCCTCTCCTCCATCATCTGGCAGAAAGGCCGTGGATTCAGCACTTCCAGCTCCCGCTCTCTTGTCCTCC